AAGAACACTCACTCGTCAGCGGCTAGCCTTGAATCGGTCGCACACACGTACCGACACAGGTAATTGCATAGCAAGCCGCAGCCCTGAAATCGAGCCATAGAGGGACAAAACATGAACAGAGAGAAAAGATCAACGTAGATCTACGTGATTGTAGTCAATCAATATAATCCCAGAAAAGAATTAAAATTAATAATTAGACCTACCTTAGTTTTGAGTTGTATTCCAAATCCAATAGTATTTCCTCATGAGTAAAGATCAATCTGACACTGCATTATCAACGATAGAGAAGTTACGAGATCCGATTAACATCCATCTTCATTCTTGCAGCGAACACAATACGGAATCAACAATAGGACTGCATGCAACGTACGTACGCAGACGTGTACTATATTATTTCTCTCACTCTCTCTCTCTCTCTCTCTCGATCGATATACGTAACACACTCACTAACCATGTATCATACACTAAACACACACCTTCAAATCATGGCTTTCATTCCACTTCTCAATTGGAGTTTAGACTGCTCACGTAGACTTTTTTTAAAAACTGAAATATCTTTTTTTTTTACTGAAATATCTTTTTTTAACACTTCTCGTACATTACTGCACGACACTCATATCTAGTGCTGTGAGAATAAGGTACTAAGTTTAAGACTACGCTTGGCGCATGATCTGACCGGAGCTCAGACATATGTCGCAATAACCTTTATTTTTTGGCGCAAACAATGACGTCAATGTTCACAGTTTTCCTTCTCATTTTGAGATGGACGTAGCTATAGGGCTCAAACCAACGCAAGATAGACAGAAACATCGTACTCTATCTACCTTCGAATGTTCAGGTTGTAAAAATCTGTATTAAAAAAGATATAATCTTTTTATGCCTCAGCCACCGAAGGTGGTGCCGGAGGCATCATGTTTCGGGTTGTCCGTCCGTACGTCCGTCCCGTTTGACCGTTATCACAATATCTCAAGAACCATTTAAGATTTAAACTTACTCGGGAATAGTATTTATCACCATAGGAAGACGATCTGATTAGATTTTGGAGTACGTAGGTCAAAGGTCACAGGTCACAGAGGTCAACTTATGAAATTCCTTGTATTGAGTTTGTTAGCGCGATATCTCAAGAACCATTTGAGATTTAAACTTCAAACTTAAGGATAGTATGTATCACCATAGGAAGACGATCTGATTAGATTTTGGAGCACGTATGTCAAAGGTCAAGGGTCACAGAGGTCAACTTATGAAATTCCATACATTGAGATTGTTATCATGATATCTCAAGAACCACTGGAGATTTAAACTTCAAACTTAGTGATAGTGTGTATCACTATAGGAAAACAATCTGATTACATTTTGGAGCACGTAGGTCAAAGGTCAAGGGTCATAGAGGTCAACTTATGAAACTCCATACATTGAGATTGTTATCATAATATCTCAAGAACCACTGGAGATTTAAACTTCAAACTTAATGATAGTGTGTATCACCATAGGAAGACAATCTGATTAGATTTTGGAGCACGTAGGTCAAAGGTCAAGGGTCACAGAGGTCAACTTATGAAATTCCATACATTGAGATCGTTATCGCGATATCTCAAGAACCACTGGAGAATTTTCACTTCAAACTTAATGATAGTATGTATCACCATATCATAATATCTCAAGAACCACTGGAGATTTAAACTTCAAACTTAATGATAGTGTGTATCACCATAGGAAGACAATCTGATTAGATTTTGGAGCACGTAGGTCAAAGGTCAAGGGTCACAGAGGTCAACTTATGAAATTCCATACATTGAGATTGTTATCATGATATCTCAAGAACCACTGGAGATTTAAACTCCAAACTTGTTTAAATTGCTCTATGGCTCAGGCATCATTTTCGACTGCGCGCAGTCAAAATTCCATCTAGTTTCTTTTTATTTTCTAGTTGTTAGACTTAGAAACATTTGTGAACATCTGAAATGTTAATCTCTATCAAAAGTTCTTTGACTCAAAATGGATCCCATATTTTTAGGGTCTACCTTCTGCCAATGAGAAGGATTTTAGTGAGCAAACCTCTGCGCCCTCTAGGATTTTCTCAGTCGGTGGTGTGTGCGCGTCATGTTCTTCTGCTACCACAATTATTGGATTCAAATACGTCAAAATCTGCAAGATCGTCAACAAATGGTGAAAGACCGTTATAGAACCGTGATTATACATGTAGGTATGTTGTGAAATGTATAATTGTATTTTCTTTTCTTATTTTCATCAAATTTGATTTTTATATCATTTTTTTCTCTCTGCTAATTTTTTGAAGTGGACGACGAGCGCACAAATCGTAGGTGTAGAAGCCTTACGCCTTAAGACAAAGTGAAGTCCAAATCCTGTCAAAAAATGAAGAAATGTATTTTTCATTTTCAACTTAACTTAAGAATACCACGCCAATAGGGTTAATAGGGGGTCTTCGTTTGTCACGTCCACATAGTCGCCCTTGATGTCATTTCGGCGATTTGCGTATGCGTCAGGTCGTCTGGCGTTGTCAGGCCAAATCTGCGAACCCGTTCATCGATGATTTGAGGTTCGTCAGAAAACTAGTGCCCCATCGTCAGAATGATGTCATCTTGCTACATCGCAGCTTAAATCAGAAAGTAAAAGCAGAATGAGAAAGTGATAAATTGATAAAAATAAAAAAGAATAAGAAAAGGTGATAGAGGAAGAACCAAAGAAAATATGATAGAATGATAACAACAAACAATACCATTAGGAAAGACAGAAAGAGAAAATGATAAAGAATAGACAATGGAAAGATAGAAGAGAAGATGAAAGAAGGAAAAACAAAGAATAACATAAGGAAAATAGAGAGAGAAAATAATAGAATAATAAACAAAGAAAATTCATAGCTGGGATTATTTTGTCATTTGGAGTTGTTGTAGACCATGTTTGTTGATATTTAGTGCCTTTTCATGACTTTGAAATAAATAATATTGGTCTAAGAGAAGAGGCAAAACATGCGGGCCGCCATCTTGGATTATAATGTAGGAGTCTCGGCATGCATGTAGGTAATCTAGACGACTTGCACCGGGAATAGATTGGCCAATTTCTGTACCTCTTTTTACTTGGATACTTTCTCCCCCGATTTTCAATATTTAGATCTAATTTTCTGATTTATAAATCAGATAGAAAAAATCTGAATATTTTTATCCTACTTACATTTGTGCATCTTTTTATTTCTTATTTCAAAATGTGAAATTTACTTACTTACTTACATATCCAATTTTTATCTCAGAACCATGAAACGGTACGTTCATCCATTCAAACTAGTAATCTATGACATGACCTAGCCGATATATTTCCGGGTCAACCTACCAAAACATAGCAAATGGCCAATCAGAGCACTCGTTTAATATTGGGCTTATGAATATTCATATATCACTGGGTCAAGCCGGGCTGACTCGTACATAGCTATTGGACGTTCGAAAAGAAAAATTGAATATTCATTGCCTAAAACCAAGATGGATGGCAAGGAATCATGTTGACTACAAGACTTTCTTGGATTAATCATTAATTTAGGATCTAAATGAGCAAGATATCGTAAGTCAAAGTAAATATTTCTGTGTTATTTTTTATTTTTTAATATAATTATTGTAATATTGAAGCCAAAGTGCATTTATGAGGATGTAAAGAGTGAAAATCTTGTTACATATCTTATTCATCGCGGTCCGGCCGAACCGAATCATTTGTTCCACTCAGTCCCCATAGGAGGATCTTCAGTCTATGTATAGAGGTGGTCAGAGGAGCCAGATGCAATCTCAGCGGAACAACCGTCGATATTAGAGACTGAAGCTTTCAGTCTAGTTGCACCACACTTATAATTTGAAGAAGTCCTCGATGGGAAAAGGGGTAATTCCTCATCCTAAAACGAGCTATCCATGTTGTATCGGCAACATGGCGAAGAGAAAGTACGCATGCGCGGTAGCGGCACAGTAAATATGAATATTCATGCTATAGAGCGCCGTTCGCTCGAAAATGCTGAATATGCACGAGGTTATGAAGGACCTCAAAAATTCATAACTTTCTTATATTTAATCGGTTATTGGCTTTAATATTGCTCAAACTTTTACTGACCCGTTTCGCTCATTTTCCTGCTTCTATTAAGAACATTTTAATATCAGGGTGAATTTTCCCTCTAATAAACATATACAGTCGGAGCTGCCAACCATTACGTTTTTCCCGGAATTATTATTTTTTTTTTTCTCAAAATTACGGTGGTACCGTGTATCTCCGTGTATAAGACGTACCCTATTTTTAGGACAAAGACCAACAAAACAAAACAAACAAACAACAACAACAACAACAGAATTTGCATTTGGTTTTGCTTTATTGCCGACACCAAAGGCAGCAAGCCAGATCAGATCGCGTCTTTTTTCAGCGTTCGGTATCATTAAAGGTATAAACCCATGCAGGAAAGGACTTTAATTTATTACGAGGCCCAGCTGAAGTGCTTGTGAACTTGCCACAAATAATAGTATCTTCGGCCAGCAAAGTACCCATGTGAAGGGGCATAATTTATCGAGACTGGAAAAAAAAAAAAAAACTCTCTTCCCTTCAAATTAGGAACGTACATGTAGTTTAACTTCAAATAGTAATCCTATTCTTTATTCATGTTGAGACACAGAGATTTTCGAAAACCACTAGTATTCAAAAACATGGACTCAAAATATCCTGTACCTGTGTACTGGTACATATATAAGATGCACCCCCGACTTTTGAATTTTCCAGCGGAAAAAAAGTGTGTCTTATACACAGAGATTTAAGGTACCTTTTTTCTTCATAAAATATGTTATTTGTTTTGTTTTTTGTTTTTGCACAAACCAAATACCCTGTAGTTGGTCAAGCAAGTAGATCTTGAAGATCGAATTACACATGATGATGACATGACCATGACCATCAATGGTACAATAGAGAAATGCATGAAATATATTAATTTTTTATTGATACCATTTGCTAACTTTGATCAACAGAGAAGAAACGATTTTACAAGAATGTGTCCATCACCCAGTCCGGAAGTAAAGCCTTTGAAATCAATCTTGATCAGAGGAAGCTGAAAACACCCAGTGGTCAGCCACTGGTCATTCCAACTGAATCCTTAGCTGTTGCTGTGGCGACAGAGTGGGATACCCAGCATGAGTTCATCAAGCAGCACAGTATGCATTTGGTAAGTGTAGGTCTGAATGATCAGTATAATAGAGTACCATTCACATGAAAAGAAAATATAATTTGTGTACAGCTAATGTAAAAAGTCAACAATTCGCCCTCTACTGATTTTCAACCAAGAAAAAATGTATTTAATCTGGATTTCAGTGAAGTGAAGAAATTACTACAAGGAAATCATAATAGATTTTCGTAAGAGAAATGTAGTGGATCATGCACCCCTTTGCATTCATGATTCTGTAGTTGTGCAGGTTAGCGAGTACAAATATCTTGGCACTACTACCAGTATGTAGCATGGTGGAATACACTGGGATTAAAGATGTGTGTGAACATGCGGAGTTGTGCTTGAACTTGAAAGTAGCCGAGTTAAAAGGATCATGAGTCCTAGGGGATATTTGATTGATAAATAAATGGCTTTGGGATAGACTATGTAGCTATATGTAGGTGAAGGGACAAGGGAAAAGGGATAGAGCAATAGGTCGAGTGGGGTTAAGAACGATAAAAATAGCTTGGACAACAGATTTGTTTTTGATAGAATTTAGTTAGGTGTTTGTGAAAATGGTGAATGATAACAGAGTCGTTGTGTTAGTAGTTAATTGACACTCTAGAGCCTGAGCTGTCACTGGTATCTCGAGAATATCCCAACGAGTGAATCCAGCATACCCACGCTAAAAAGTATAAGGACTTCCCCTTCATTTGACCAATCAGAAATAAAAACAGGTAAAAAGTTTGTTAGAGTTTTGGAATAGAGAGTTTGGACCAATGGAATAAGTTTTAGCCCTGTCCACTAAGAAATCGACAGTGGTGGGAGATCAGGTGACCAAAAAGTATTATGGGATGGAAAAACAAAGGAAATTAATAAGGAATTTGTTGGACTCGAGGTGCGAGCTAGATGGCTGAACGGTGTGTTAATTAAGTATAAAAAGACCCAAACCTCCCTTCCCTAAAAGACTTGCATCCCTGGACCCCAAGCATTTGCCACCCCTCTCCTTCCACCCTGAGTTTAATCCAGCCACCACAGACATCTGGAGATCCCCGACTTGCAACCAATTTACAGCTTCGTCCACGGAATATTTTGAAAGTTGTGGAACTTCCCATCTTCTGGTCACTGTGTGCTGACAAGTCAATAATAGAAAGAGACCAAGGAGACCGCTGATTATTTTGTGCTCTTTTTGGACAAGTCAATAATAGAAAGGGACTGAAACGACCAATATATAATACTGCACTTCGCTCTCCGCCAGTAGAGAGAACACTTTCAACCCAGAGTAATAGAAAGAGACAAAGGAGACCGCTGATTATTTTGTGCTCTTTGTGGAGAAAGTCAACAAATTTGACGTCACCGGTAAGACCCTCCGACGCCCCCAGGACATCGACGTCTGCTACGCCCCGACACGAGTGCGACGAGTCGAGAGAGAGGACACAAGAAAGAGCTAAGTGATCAACCCGTTCCCCAATTAAAAAGGCCTATAAACTCTAAAGACAATTAATTATCGATCGAGTAAAGACTCTAAAAGCCCAAGTAATTTAAATAATCCTTTTCCTTTCCCCTTCCCCCTCCCACTAATAACTATATTTTAAGTGAGTGATTGTTGATGTGAATGCGTGGGTAAACGAGCTCAAGTAGTTAAGTAATTAGGTAAGGGTTAAACACTGAAGAAACACGACACAAGAAATTGTAACCCTTTTTAGAATAAACGACCAAATGAAATTGTAATGGAAACTGTTTAATTGTGTATTAATTTGTGTGGTGGTCTCGTGGGTTTTAACCAACACCCCCACCTCGGCCGCGGTGAGATGATGCTCTCCGACTGGAGTTAACGGACCTAAACAAAAAACAATCTCCCGAAACCATAGAACCGCCGCTGCCGAGGGGTCGGGGGGCGTTAGAAGTATATCATGTACATGTAAATTGGATTGGTCGAAAAATGTCAACATTATTCAGAAGAAAGCAAATCAAAGGCTTTATTTCCTTAGACAACTTAAGAAACTACACATAAACAAGACACCTCTTGTTCTGTTCTATAAATCAATCATTCAGTCTATCTTGACATTCAACCTTATTTGTTACTTTGGTAAAGCCTCGCTCACAAATGCCACTACGGACTGCTACAAACGCTGTACGAACGATTTTCAGACAATGGGAAAACGGAGATTCGTACGAAGTTATCGTTCATACAAAGCTTTGTGACCGTAGCATAATGGAACACGTGCTAGCAAAAAGAAAACTGAAGAATAAGGAAAATTGCTCAGCGCATTATCGGTTTAGAATTGCCCAGTTTAGAAAATATGTATCTTGATCGTACATTGCTGAAGGTAACATGTATTATGAAAGACCTATCACATCCTTTTTTCCATGATTATAATTTTAACCGATCAGGAATTCGCCTCTGCGTTCCCCGCACTAGGCGGGAGCGCTTCAAGCGTTCATTTGTGCCGGATTCGATTAATATTACAACAGTAGGGTAAAACGAGGGCAATTATTGCAGACATTATAATTGTATTGCTTTCCTCCATTCCTAGGCAAGTAATCACATTGTACTGATACAGACTATGAGACTATTTCCATGTTCCCTATTTACGTTTCAGTTGCGAGGTGCCTGGCTGAGGGACGTCGCTCGTATTGTTGGATGAAACGCCATTGATGTTATGTCGTTATTATGTTTTATAATCTGTGTAATTGTGTACATTTTTTGTAACTCATCTGTACCAGTGAACAATGAATTTCCATTTGATGGACAATAAATCAATTCAATTCAATTCTAATTACTCCTCAAATTGTATTTATAAACCTTATAAATGATAGCAATTTTCTCAAAAATCAGGCATGATATTCTCCTGATTTAAATTCTGAGTCTGCTCAGCGATTTAAATTCTGAGTCTTACCATATCAGACAAGACGAGTTACTCAATGATGCATCTTGATTTTAGGTCTCTGCAGATGGCGCTATCAATTTTGTGTATCTCGTATTTTGCAAGATTAAATTAATTTTATCCAAATTTTAGAAGACTTGGAATCAATCCGGATCAATCACAACTTTCTTAGAGATGCCAACTATTCCTTTTTTGCCGTATTTGTTCCGTTTTTATGCTATGAATACGGCAGTAAGTTTTTTGTATGTTTTGTTACATGTTTTTAAAAAAAAGAAATTTTAAGATGATGTTGTTCTTCATTTCCGATCATGGGCTTTGTGTCGTATGTGTGTTATGCACCTATGTCTTCAAACAATGCATGCAGTACGGTGGTACGGGGCCCCAAACTGTGCATGTTGCGAACAACCCATGTGTTTGATTTGTACACAGTTTTTATTTGCCCTGCGCTATGGATTGCATACATGTATGTGCCCGGGCCTAGCCCTGTACTGTATGCACGTCAAATGATTTATACAAGCACGCTTGCAACAGAAAAAGCATGTCAGCTTGGCTTTAAGTGCTGCAAGTTGTCAGGATCTTGGACAATTGTTCAAAAAGATAGCTGCGGGATAGCGAATAATGTGAGAGATTTTTTTCAAAAATACTGTTTTTTCCTTTAAGGAAAAGGTTAAGGTTAATAATATTAAGATTACTTTTTTTTTTGGATGAAGATTGGCATCTCTTCAGTTTCTGTAAGACAGGGTCTTGATGTGGTAATGTTGTATTTCATTTCCTCTCTGATCTAGACTGCTCTGTGTAACACAGTGCTGGACAATCCAACACACAGAACCAAAGCCCAGATTATCAGGGCTATGCTCCATTTTCTGGAAACAGACACAATTTGGTAAGTTTTGAAGACTATCTTTTAAGTTTTTAAGCAAATATTCTGCTCAATTGATGATCTGACACATGCTCTGGAAACTATTGCTCTGAGCTTTATTTCATCAAAGATGTGGCTTAGGGTTTCCATTGAATTTTAGATTTAGGTTTAGGGTGAGGGTTAGGTGTATTTGGAGAGGAGTTCTTTTAGGGAACATTTCTAATCTCATATTTTACCAAACTGACATACAAAAAATGAGAAAGCTTGCAAATTATTTTTCAACTTGAAAAGAACCTGACCTTCTCTTTAAAGGGATTGGGTATCTTTGTCTCAGATTCTGAAACTAAATCCTGAAATAATATCATGTTGCAATGATAATTAGAAACCTTTAGGTCAGTAAGGAACCCCATGACTTTTACAAGCCGATCGCCTGTCTGATTATCAAGATATTTATGATTGGAAATTGAAATTTCAAAAACCGTTTTCCTAACGGTTTTATAACACTATAGTCTATAGGGGTAAAACGGATCACTTAACCCTATATAGCCCGGGCTATTTTAAAACTGCATAGCCCAGCGGGGGGGGGCTTTTCTTAGGCCCCCTATTGTTTTTGTTGTTTTATTTCATTTCGAACTATAATTCAACTATTTTTACCCCAAAATAAACACCTAAACTATAAACAAGATCAAATAACCAATGTTTTATCTCTTTAGTTGAAAAATGAGATTTCCATATGTTTTGTACACAAATCACAAAAATGAGCGATTTTCGGGCTGACATGCAAAGACAAAAGGACATGTGACTTTGTAATGGTAGGTCCGATTTTCGAAAAATTTCTTTCAAAAGATGCGCATGACTCGAAAGAAAAAAGTCACAAAATTTCAGTGCAAGATTTTCTTGCATTACAAAATTATCGCGAAAAATGTCGAGGAGGGGGCTTCTAAAGCCCCCCCCCCCTCCCTTCGGGCTAGATAGGGTTAAAGATTTTACTTTTTTGATAGCATGTAGGGCCATGCATATCAGATTTAACATTATTAAACAATGCCTTTAATTTAGTTACAGATTAGAAGACCCTCCTGAGCTTGTGGCCATGCAAGATGAGAAATGGGAACCTATGCTAGACTGGATCAACAAGAAATACGAGGTGGACATCAATTCCACCACCTCCATCACCGGGCCAGTGATACCACAGGAGACCTACAGGAATCTGGAGCATCACCTGGAGACACACTCAGACTGGGCCCTTGTTGGTAAGTTCATTCATGGAGCTTGTACATGGTGTTAAATGTGTGGGACTGTGTCTCTCTGTAACAGACACAATATAACTGGGTTTTGGAAACTAACATAGATTTCAATGTGTTGGACAATATGGCCTGGGACATGGCTTCATGGGTGATGAGTGTAAAGCATGGAGCTTACACAGTTGTCAACATTTGGGACTATGTATCTCATTATCAGTTTCAGTTTTCAGTTTAGTTTTATTTCATATTCACATTCTTTACACAAATCAAAAGCAACAAACATGAAGAATGAAAAAATCTAAATATACAATTTTGTCAGGCAATGAAAGTTTTAAAAAATACAGTCAAATTAACATACAGAGATATAAATATTAAATTATTTGTGGTGAAATATGGGGGAATCTAGTGAATTGCTAAGCTTGTACAACATAAAATGTAGATTCCCTTTTGTAAATAAGAACAGTCTATTGAGCATGAGATTATGTTCAAAGTATTCAAAATAAAGGAAAAAAAGAAGGAAAACAAATATTGAAAAAATAAAATATGACATACAGTGTAGAGACATGTACATACCGACTAGCCCCAGGGGTGGTAATCTTAAAGTGTAACACAGAAATGAACAAATGACTTGTTCAAATTTAGATTTGTTAAGACAATTGAACATATTTTTAACATAGAAATTAACATAATTATGCCTCTGTTACAAAGTAGCCGGAGGCATTATGTTTTCGGGTTGTCCGTCCGTACGTACGTACGTCCCGTTCTCGTGATCGCGTTATCTCAAGAACCGACTGATGGATTCCTACCAAACTTTAGTCATGTATGTAACTTGCAGAGCAAATGAATTGATTAGATTTTGGGGTCACGAGGTCAAAGGTCACAGGGCTCATTATGTATGCAAAAATTGCTTGTGATCGCATTTTCTCAAGAACCGACTGATGGATTCCTACCAAACTTCGGTCATGTATGTAACTTGCAGAGCAAATGAATTGATTAGATTTTGGGGTCACAAGGTCAAAGGTAACAGGGCTCGTTATGTATGCAAAAATAGCTTGTGATTGCGTTTTCTCAAGAACCGATGGACAGATTACCATGAAACTCAGGAAATGTATGTATCTTGCTGAGGCAATGAACTGAGTAGATTTTAGGGTCATGAGGTCAAGGTCAAAGGTCATGGGCTTCATCATGTATGCAAAAATAGCTTGTGATTGCATTTTCATTAGAATCAATGGATGGATTACCATCAAACTCAAGACATGTATGTATCTTGCATTTGTGGTCATGAGGTCAAAGGGTCATACATGTACAGTATATGAGAAATAGCTTGTAATCATGATATTCTGAGAACCTGTTAATGGATTACAACCGAACTTGAACTTGAAAAATTTCTTCCAATTTGGTTTGTAAAATTGCTCTATAACGGAGGCATCACTTTCGACTGCGCGCAGTCGAAGTTCCACCTAGTTCTTAGAATACATCCCCTGGTTAACATTAATGGAACTTACACCTTTTTTGATGTGTTTGACTTTAAAGGCTGTTCGACCAACATGAAGATAGGCAAAATGAAGAAAATGTAGAATGAAGAAAGGAGTGAATAATGAAAATGAGAAAGAGAAGGAGAGATAAACGGAGAGAAACAAACATTAGAGGCTAAGGAAGAAGAGAAGCAATAAGATTATTGGTGAAAGAAGAAAGAATAAATGGTTTATTTGAATTTGTGTTTATTGTCTTGGATTCGGACTGAACTTCATTAGAAGGCTGCTTTTGATTTCATGACTTTATACAGATCTTTGTTTGTCTGTGCAAAGCAGTCCATCAGTTAGAATTGAAATTTCAATGTATGACTATGATTGTTTGCTTGTAGGCTATGAGAATGCAATCGAGTGTCTGAAATCTCTGGTACTGACCTTTGCCCTCATGGATAGAGAGATCACTGTAGAAGAGGCAGCCTCATTGTCAAGACTCGAGACAGAATTTCAGGTAAAACAGTCATTATTGTAATTGGAGGATTACTTGTGTATCATAAATCCAAATTTGTGGAGTGCATGTTACGTGTGCTCTACGGATTTTAATTCTTGTACAGGAAAAACCTGTATATAAATACCACTGGAGGGAGACGAAAAACGTTTTTATAGGCAGGTGGTTCTTACATACAGGTCCATTTAATACAGGTTTTATGAGAAACACTATAACATGGAAATGAAAATCATGGATTTAATAGATTTATTACTGACGGGCAAAAATGTGCAGTATATACAAAGTGATTTACGGGACTTGTGAACATGTATAATACCAGAACGTCAATGACGTAGCGCATCTCGCAACAACAAATGTAAATTTTAGGTGTAGAAGTTTAGTGTTCCAAATTTAGCTCTACCAGATAAGGCAAACCAAATCAAAATCGGTCGAAATATGAAGGAGAAAAAGCATTTTTTGTGATTTTTCAATGATTTTTGGAATAAATTTGCATAAATTATCATAATTAATCAATGGAGCAAAATCTCAAAATTTGGTATAAGTTTAGTGTTCCAAATTTAGCTCTAACAGATAAGGCAAACCAAATCAAAATCGGTCAAGAAATAAGGGAGAAGAAGTAATTTTTGTTATTTTTGGAATAAATTTGCATGAATTACCATAATTAATGTAGAACAACTACAAAATTCTGTGTAGAAGTTTAGTGTACCAAAGTTAGCTCTACGATATAAAGCAAACCAAATCAAAATCGGTCGAAATATGAAGGAGAAGAAGCATTTTTTTTTATTTTTAAATTATTTTGGAATAAATTTGCATAAATTACCATAATTAATCAATGGAGAAAATCTGAAAATTCTGTGTAGAAGTTAAGTGTTCCAGATTTAGCTCTACCAGATAAGGCAAACCAAATCAAAATCGGTCAAGAAATGAGGGAGAAGAAGCAATTTTTTTTATTTTTGGAATAAATTTGCATAAATTACCATAATTAATTAATGGAGAACAATTTCAAAATTCTGTGTAGAAGTTTAGTGTACCAAAGTTATCTCTACCAGATAAAGCAAACCAAATCAAAATCGGTCGAGAAATGAAGGAGAAGAAGCATTTTTTGTGATATCGAATAAATTTGCACAAATTAGCATAGATAATGAATTTCAAGATTCTGTGTAGAAGTTTTAAATCCCCCTCCTAGCCCTATCATACGAAACAATCAAAATCGGTTGAAAAATAACGAAGAAGAAGCATTTTGAAAACTGAGACGGACGGACGGACGGAAGGAAGGACGGACAACGGACGCCACGTCATGGCATAAGCTCATCGGGCCCTTTGGGCCGGATGAGCTAAAAAAGCACAAACTAGACATGAGACTAGTGAATGAAGTTTGCAGTAACATTTTAATGTTACAGATTTAAAAATGTTTAGAGTAGCTGAGTGAAGGTTTCAAAAGGCTTTTAACCTTAATAATGTTGGTATCATTGCAAAGTTAATGTTACAATCTTTCTAATGGTTCATATTTAGTTTTCAAAAATTGTTAAGGAATTGACTTATCTGCTATTAAAAGTGGTGAAATTACTACCCGATTATTCCGCCCTTGATCGGCCGGCTATTGTGACGTATGATTTGTGATGTGTGAGGTTGGGCACATGAGCGCTAGAGTGCTCCCAAGAGCTGTCACACAACTCTCGCCTCCATGCATTATACGTATACAAACTACTCGAACGCTAAATATCTGATCAAAATGTCCGAGCTCGAAGAAGAGGTTTTACTCGATTTAGAATTCGAAGTTGATGGGCACAGCTCCACAATTACTAGTGGCAGTGGTACTGGTAGTGATAGTGATAGTAACGATGAGGAATAAAGAGAACAATTAGGAGAAGACGGCGTCGATGCTGGTGCAGGTCAAGTGATAGCATATCAGCGCCCGCTCCCCCGACCCCGCTCAACTGGCGATCGATCTGTCATGCACCCTGTCACTGGGATGACTGGGCGAGACATTTTCTAATTTTTCGGGGTGTGGGGCTTTTTGGCAAATTTCATGGATAACAAAGCAAAGACGATTAGATGTGAGATTATATTTGGCGAAAATCAATTACAAATATGCACCATTAAAAATGCAAAAGGACGCTCGCGATTCACTCATCATGGTCTCCGTATATAATGCAACAGCAATCACGCCAAGGCATGATGACCGAACAAATACAAAGCATCTCAGCAAATTACACAGAACGGAAGGGTATTTTGACAAATCGAATTGCACGATTCACCCCTCGTATTATATTACATAAATTTGCTTAGTATTATATGTAATTACATAATTTCTAGAGATTGTTTTTCCACTTTCTGGTCAGGATATGAAGCATGCGAAGTCTGGATAATGTATACGTATTGCATGCAAAATACCGCACACGAGCTGTGCGAAGGCGAGCTTGAGGCTTAGAATTGCGATCGGGCCCAACCAGCGACGTCATAATCGGCCTACTGCGCAAACAAAATTTTGCAAGCCAGGAATAGAAGTTCTGAGAAGGTTCTTGAAAAAAGCTTCTTATCGCGTTTCATTTTTATTTACAAGACTTTAGAGCAGAATGTGTGTGTTCAAATTGGTCTACGCTATCTGGACACGTATAATTTGCCCATTTCGAGTGATTATGTGAATTTTCTTTGCCAAGCTTCTTTAAGAGCTTCTAAAATAACTTTAGTGATATAGGCTAAAAGGGAATAAATTAAAAAAGTTTCAGGAAAAATAGATAGTAGATTTGTTCCCCCCCCCCCAACCCAACAAATACTTATCAAATCAGGTTTATTTTTTCAAAATCTACCTATTTGTACCTAACCCGTACTACATGTAAGTACATCGTACAAACAACCAGAGTACCTGCATATATCTTATAAAATTCCCTTATCTATGTTTCTCTTTTCAGATTGATAAATGGGGAAGTGTGGAGTGGGCACATGACACAGAGTTCGCTGACACCAAGTCCCGGGTGGCAGCAGCAGTGCTTTTCACACACCTAGTAACAGAACACACAGAGATCATCCAAAAGTCAAGAACTCAGTGAGAAAGGTCAAAGTTCATGTACATGTTTACAATACAATAGTTACATCTGTATAGAGCTCTTACAAACTAACCAGTTTCACAGCACTTTACATCAATATGAAATAAGAACAAAACGATAATATAACGATCACCGATTGTGAGGTGGGTTTTGAAACTTTACTTGAAGACAGCCAAAGAAGCATGAATCATAGAAGCTACTTCTAGAGCTGAGGAGCACATATCTGGAGCATTCTCTAAAGCTGTGGTATTTGATGGAGGAACCTGGAGCAGGATACCATCTAGACGAGAGTGACGTGCAGATTGATGTGATATGATGAGAGAGTTAAGGTAGACTGGAGCTCTGTTTGGATACACGTATTGATAACAGCCAGGACCTTGAATTAGGAGCCAATGAAAGCAATTCTTTTAGCAAAGGTTAGCATTGTCAAAACAAGACAGCACGATAAATCTGACAGTGTATATGGATGGTCTAACTGTAATGGTCTAATTTGATAGATGGTAGTGAAGACTGCAACAGAGGGATGATACCCGACGATGCATTTTGAGTGCCGAGTCCAATTCCATGCCAAGACTCTTTGCAGTGGATGTTGTATAAATACAGAGGTCAGGAACAGTTAGTATTAAAATGGTCCATGATACAGCATGCCTGGAGGTAGAGTCGCTGCCCGGCAAGCCGTAGATGGCAGGTGGTAAATCCCTCTGGTTCTTAATTGTTTATAATTGTAAGATCGACTATGCGATTTTTATTTACTGGGTGCCAGCTGAAATTTGTTTACAAATATTTTCTATTCAGACATCACCCTGAGTTTTAATGCTGTTTAGAATTAAAAGTTTCCCATTCTTAATCATGCAAGATATTGTGATTACAAGTACCTTATTTCTTTAAAATAAGTTGTGAAAGGGGCTTATTTACTCTCAGTTTGGCAAATAAGCCCATAATTTTATAAATCAGTAGTGAGATGATATAGGTAGTGACACATATGGAAAGAAAAAGAGAGGTATGGTAGAGGAGAGAAGGGTTCCTTGAGAAATGAGAGAGAGAGAGAGAGAGAGAGAGAGAGAGGGAGGGAGAAGGAATGAGGAAGAACAAAAAAGGAGACATTTAAAAGGAAACGAGATTACGTCTTTAAGCTGTAATAGCTATATTCTTAAATGGACTTGGTAACATTGTTCAGAGGAGAGAAAAATGGTGCTAAGGTAGTGACTTCAATGCTAGATGTACAATTACAGATAATCTGAGAGTTTGAGTGAAAACAGACTATTATTAATGATAACAATTGGGAAAAACTGATCTGATCGATTCCTTAATTCCCCCAACTACTATTACAATTCAATTACATTTTAAGTGAATGTAAATTGTCACAAAGTGATAAATTGGCTCTTTATACCATTCCAGAAATTTAAGTGTTGACAGATTATTTAAAGCCTGTCTTGTGCATTATTTTCAGGAAAAACAGTTTGAAAATTTAAAAAATGGTTGGGAGAATTTACTGTTAGAGGGTGTTGCACAGTGACGCCTTCAAAGAAAACCATAAATATCTTTGTGGTTTGAGAATTTTTTAGAATTTTGTTCATGTTAGAGGATCAGTACAGTAGAAGGAATATAATAAGTAGTATTTCATACAAAAATTACACAGCTTTTTCATTAACATTCAACAATGTTACTGAGTCACTTTATTTGGATATTGATCATTTGAATAGTACCAATAGAAGCTTTCTATGGAAGAAGATGAAGGAGCAAGAGAGGTGGCAGAGTAAAGATAGGGGAAAGAGATTGCCTTTTAAATGCCTTTGCCCTGCCTTGAGGAATTGTTATGCCTCCTCTACAAAGTAGCCGGAGGCGTTATGTTTTCGGGTTGTCCGTGAACTTATCATATTTGGGGGTCAAAGGTCACTGGGCTCATTATGTATGCAAAAGAGCTCCTGATCGCGTTATCTCAAGAACTGATTGATGGATTACCGCCAAACTTGGGTCATGTATGTCTCTTGCAAAGCCAATAAACTGATTAGATTTTGGAGTCAGGTCACAGGGCTCATTTTGTATGCAAAATTAGCTTGTGATCAAATGCATTGTCAATAGAACCGACAGATGGATTACTATCAAACTCAGGACATGTACGTAATCTTGCAGAGCCAATAAACTGATTAGTTTTAGGGTCATGAGGTCAAAGATCAAAGGGTCATACATGTATATGAAAAATAGCTTGTAATCACGATATTAATTAACGATGTTAATGGATATTAATCAAACTTGAATTTTCTAAATTGCTTCTGTTTTGGTTTGTAAAATCACTCTATGAAGATCCATCTAGTTATTGATTCGTATCGATCTCAAGTCTCTGAATCGGTCACAAACTTAACAAACTCTTTTTTTTTTTAAATAGATTTATGATTCTGTTCTGAATAAAAGGGGTTCCATGTGGCTGCACTATATTCAACACATGTGTTTCTTCACATACTTATATAAAGAGATACTGCAAGTTTAAATACATTCTCAATTACAGGGTATAAACATAGAGCTGCATTTCTTAGACTACTCGACGCATCGGCTTGAAATATGGCCTGCACGGACCAACGGAACTCAAGTCCGACTTGGGTTCCATGCTTTATGTTTTATGTTATTCTGTATTATCTTCTTGCCCCTTCTCCGATGGCTCATAAAATGCAGGGTAAAGTTTGTGATTTATACCCCTACCCCAAAGAGCGAGAGATAGTAAAGAGGAAGGGAAGAGTGGAGAGAAGTGGATGAAAGAGGGTGGACAGAGCTGTTCACAAATTATTTTGTAGATGATTGGCAGTCCTAAGAACCAAGTCCAAGTCCATCCTAGATGGTTCCTACCCTTTAGACTGAAGGCTCCATAAGCAACGTCCTGGTGATGTAAATGAAAAGGGTCTGACAGTGATAGACACAACGCTCATTCCTGTATGCACTACAATATAAAGATAATTAAAACATTTTGTTGCATAAAATGTGCATTGTGATAGTGCACTGTATCAGTGTAAAATTGTATACTGCGATGAAATACAAAATTAGAAATGCCTCTGCAGTGCACCCATGAGCAACGTCTGCATTGTGTTGCATTTGTACTCAATTTGACTTGAGTCCAAGTCTAAATACATTGTGCTACAACACTGGTGATTGGTACACTTTATAAAGCTGCAATCAATTTTCATAAATTGCAACTCTTTATAAGATGGAGCCTAGGTTTATGAGAGTTGGGTATGAATCAGTGTAACTGGAGGTACAAAATGGGAGAAAAGAGAGAAAAGGAGAAAGAGGGGGAGATAGTAAAGAGAAGGGGAAGAGAAGAGAGAAGTGGAGGAAAAAGGGTGGACAAGGAATGCAGAAGGTTGAGTATGCAGATTATATGGATAGGCAATACAAAAATCACAACACACCACCACCACCACATAGACAGAAAAGTCTAGAATTAATTTCAATGTACTAATTAGTTCTCAGCAGATGAACAGTCCAACTCCATTCCATACAAGATACAACACTCAAAAATGTATCAACACTACAATTATATTTACAAATAAACCAATTTATTCATACATATATATATATACACAGTGGAATCAACAAGGCTCAATGTAACAGATAAAAGCATTAATTTTTGTACATATTTACATCTAATGAACAATGCTACTGCTCTTGATCAAATCACAGTTAAACAAGGTGCATATCAGTATCTATGTTGGGTCAGAGTGGTATAAATTATTTTTTTAGAGTCATATTTTTTTCTTCATTTTCTGCTTGCAACCTCACTGACTATGTTTTGAAGGATTGTGAAAGATTAGGGACAAAGGGTTGTCACTTTGATATCCAATAAAAAAACAAATAAATAATACAGATGAATGCGACTGCATCTCCAATATGCACAATCAAATCAGTTTATCCTTTACTGTATAGCAAGGTACTATTATTATTATTATCACAATTGTTCAGTTTGTTGATTGCTTATGACATATCTTTTGCTATATGCACAACTCGCTGTATAAAGCTATCATAAAAAATCAGGTCTTGCCTCTTTGAAAATTTCAATTATTCAAATTTAGTGAGATATATCTTCTAAGTAGGCCATACAGATTTATCAGAACCAGAAACAGTTCACGATGTGAGACCAAAAGAGGTTGGTATACAAGGTGTTTCATGAATAAATTAGATATTCTTTAGCAGCACTGATTTAATTTGCCGTTTGTTTTCCCTAAAGGTTCACACTTCCGAAGGTACATTACTAGGAAGGTTTGTAACTCTGAAGGTTCACACTTCCAAAGGTACATTACTAGGAAGGTTTGTAACTCTGAAGGTTCACACTTCCGAAGGTACATTACTAGGAAGGTTTGTAACTCTCAAGGTTCACACTTCCGAAGGTACATTACTAGGAAGGTTTGTAACTCTCAAGGTTCACACTTCCGAAGGTACATTACTAGGAAGGTTTGTAACTGAAGGTTCATACTAAAGTCCTCCGGTTCGTACAGTGTATTTCCATAAATGAAATAGGGTTCATAATTTCGCAAAGGACAAAGAACCCTGTATCGTTTTTCGGAATTATAAACCTGATGAATAAGGAAATTTCAAAATTATGAAAACTGTTTAATTTGCAAAACAATAAACCCATTTCATTTTCAGAATAATGAACCCCTTTTTACTTATAGAATTATTAACTTTCAGACAAATTAAACTTACCGGAATAATGCAATAAACAATCGGAATTAAGGACCCTATTTAATTTTCGGATTTATGAACTCCCTGGTATGGGAAATTTGTATCTTGGTATTACAAGCCTTCTGAAAAAAACTTCTTTTTTTTTTCTTCAGAAAAAGAGTGCCTCCCAGGCTGGAAGTGAGGATCTATTTAAGTGCATTGCATGGGTGAATAAAAGGTGTGTGTGATGGGCAAGAATGGATGCCTATGTCCATATCATGTTTCATTCATATCAAGGACAGGCCTATTCTTCAAATGTAACAATAATTCATTGGTATATTGTATGTGCATTCTTTACAGTACCAATCCCAAAAGGTGTTGTGTCTTGATGAAGATCATAATGAATGTAGTTGCCAGGTTGGACAACCTTTGACAAATAATTGCTGTAAATACTCAAGAACAACATTTTCCAGTTTTGCCTTCCCAAAGTCGTAATGCATTAAAACGGCCATAGAATACAACTTACAATAGTAAATATGTGTATTAGGCTATTGTATTGAGCAGCAATTTCAAAATTATAAGAAAAACAAATGTAAGTCAGAAATACATGTACCTACTCATATCCATCGGAGTAACATGTAAACACATATCAGGGCTATTAGTTACATATTATGTGATGGCTCCTTGCCCAAATATTATTAATATAAGCAATGCTTAAAATTTACTCATGTCTTCCAAGATTTGATTTGATAATAATCTTCCAACATGCAAAGTCCAGCTAGTACGGTTCCATCAGGAAATGGTCAAATTTCCCTGGCTTTATCTCCAACTTCTCACATCGCATTGGGTAGCTCCATGTTTTCGATATCATCCTTGAGATGGTCAATGAAGTTGTTGATCTCTTTGACGCGGTCCCTGTTCCTGGCCACCTCCTCCTCATTATGGATACGCTCCATGAGTGCTCCCAGCCAGCCATTGGCACGCTGAATGATGTCGTCTTCTCGGTTGTCAATCTTCAGGAGATGGACGTCGTGGGAGGCGCTCACGGCATTGGTGATGGTATCTTTGTCAACCAAGAGCTATTGAGAAATGATTCAAGAACTGCTTGTTAGGAATGGAACATTATCGTGGCCGGATTTTTTTTTTTATTGCGAGGGGGGGAGGGGGCTCACAGCCTTGATGAAGGCATCCTTGTTGGTCAAGTACTACAGAGGAATGGTTTGAGATGGGAGGGAACATCCTCATTAAAAAACAAGATTTTTACATTAGCTCACAGTGTTTACAATTGTAATAAATTCAATCATGGTCATATCCCTATATTGACATTCCATAATATTTCATTAGACAAGACATAGTGGAAAGTGCTCTACAGACACTCATATTACATACATGCCAACTGTTCAGATTAAAGAGGAACATTCCTCTTTTTGGGAGAAGATAATTATCATTTTAATGCAGGTGTTCCTCTTCCTGTACAAATTTGTCTGTAGTATTGAATAGGAGAGTTAGGATTGTTCCTCTTTTTTTTTTAAATAGCATAATTTGTACAGATTTCTGATTTTCAAATGTTGGCATGTATGATATTAACAAGCAAGTTTTGCCAGTCCCACTTCCTTGTATTCTAGCCCTGATACCTGATATAACATGGCAATCTCCTGGTCACATTACTAGTATATTCTCTGCATTACACGTGAGAATGTACATGAATGGGGGGGGGGGGGAGGGGTGCTAACTGAACATCTATAGCATGTAAAGCAACAAGTAGAACATGTCTTTTAAGTACATACCATTCTAAGATCTTCTGGTAGTTCATCATCCAGTTCATTCTTGACATATTTCTCCAGTGTGATATGGGCAATCTCCAGCAGACGTTCATGATGGATATTCTCTAGATCTCTGACCTGAGATATCGTGGATTCAAGTGGTTAAGGATATTAGGAATATAAGTTGAACTTAATGAAAGAGGTTAAATTGGGGATAAAAACTGATCTTAAAGATACTATGTCCCTTTTGCAGCCAACATCAAATTCTGTAGAACTTTGCAGGAATTATGAATATGTCATGTACAAGTATGTCCTACAGTATCTGTGAAATTTAAACGTTAGCAGTGTCCTAATATTCAAATTATGCAAAGAAACCCGTTTAATTGCTAGACTTCACTGTCAGACACTATTGAGTGACTGACTGGCTTTTTTTCTTCTTTGGTAATAACATACATAAAATGAGCTGTAAAGGGTACATGAGCATTTTCCTACATCAATAACCCACTTCTTGTAATGGCCAAAATTAACTGATTGAATCTGTGCGCAGCATAAAATGTACGACCATTCGGTGCAATGGTCTGAAAAGTCAGACTATCACTTATTGGCTCTATAGCTCCTAAGTCGATTTGACAACCAATAGTCGTTATTTTCCCACTTAACGACATTTTCAAGCCCCCCTTTTTTTGGGGAAGTTCTAAATTGGTATTATCTTTCAAATGACGTTGGAATTTAACCTTTTCATATTTTGGCCTGCAGATGGGACATAGTACCTTTAAGCTGATTGGAAAAGAGAAACCAAAACAAGAACAATGCAATTATGTGTCTAATATGCCTCTGCCTATACCGTATGTATGTTCATTTTCATGCTCATACAATATATTTACTTGAGACCAGTTTGGTCGTCTTTGGTTCTTTTTTTTTAAGTTATCACAGTAATACAATATTTTCTGGAAATTTAAACATTTTTATGACCCAGTGATCTTTCACTCTTACCTTTGCTTATCGTTAATTGCTTTTCAAGTTATCATGGTAACAAGCTATTGTCTGGCATTTGTAAACAATTTTATGACTCTGTGACCTTTGACCTCTTCCACCCAAAATCTAATCAGTTTTTCCTAAACTTTACACACATTTTGATAATTGACTGTTTGTTCCTCGAGTTCCAATATATCCCACATATGAAGGTAAGATATGGAAGTAGATGGAAGGAGACTTTTTGTTGACATTCATGCTTTGGAGATACATTGATCTCAAAATCTGACATTGGACAGTCTCTCCATCAGGCATTGCATAATCTTAAACCCAAAGTCAAAATGATCAATCAAACTGCAAACTATTCAGCAATATCAATCAATACTTATTAGTGTATTATATATCTTCTATCTGTACAGCATAGCCCACTCATACAAAGCAGGTGAATGACCAATTCCTGTTCCATCATCACAACCCCATGTCATTGAACTCGTAGTTCTCTTGTATCAAAAGGATATAATCCTTGGACAAATTCCACAAATGATGACACCATGTCTGCTAGGTTCCTTTCAAAATCCTTTATCGTATCCTGGAATTGGGGTAAAAAGACATAAAGCAATTTTACATCATTTGTTATGATAATGCTACAGCTACACATAATATGTTAAAGGTATTACAAAGTTTTGGTATGGGGTCATGAATTTGGTTCAAATTAACATATTGGAAACATATGCGTTCCTACAATATTCATTGATCGTTGTCACGGTTGAAATCGAGTCTAAAGTTATGAAATTATAAATAATAAACTCTTTATAATGTATAGCTCCCTCTCAAGGTCAAGATATTAATTTAGCTATGAAACGATGTTTCTTGACTAAAATCGACCGATTAGCTATTCCCGTTTGGAAATGATATATCACAACTACATATTCTGAGACTTTCAGGGTCCCAGGTACCATTGTACGGCCATAGGCGCTCTTTTGAAATTTATCAAAATTTACCGGGAGCACCGGTAAATTTTTATATTCAATTTTTCTCGAAAACAGAAGTGTTTCAGGGGCTAATTTTTTTAGTGCTTATAATACATCCACAGGGACATCCAAATATATCAAAATTGTAAAGATTCACTATCCACCCAAATTTCAAAATTTCCCAAAACCTCATGTCTTTGGGTTAACCCTTTCAGGAAGTTATCATAAATTATTAGAAAGATATTGTCTCTCTCCCATCTCCCTGATCATCCAAGAACTAAAATAAACTGTGTACCAAACAACTGCATCAAATTAGGACTTGAGAACGCTGTCAAACCAGAAACCTTTGTGAATTGTTGATAACGGCTATTTCTGCATCAATAAACTTTCACAAATCTTTACAAAAATTATTGTAATGATTCAATTATTTTGCACCATGAAACTGTCATAGGATTTTCAAGGTTCAAGGTTCAAGGTTCATTTTATTTCTTTCTTTCACTACATTTTTACATATAATAATAGAACAAAAACAGCATAAGAAAAAACAATTTAAGTGCAATTTTAAGTCGATATATAATCCAAATGAAAGAAAGTGGAGACCTTAGAAAAGCTGGGCTTGTAAGAGCAAGGTCCCCATATAACACATAATCCATCAATGTTTCACTTTTTTAAAAGCTTGTGGTTTTTCATATCATAGAAGCATCACATAGCTACATGTATTATACTGCAACCAGGTATTTTAAATATTAGTTCTTTTTTTTCAGTCTCATATCACAAAGAATACAATACTCTGAATGACACTGTGATAGAGCATGTACCATACATGCTTCTACAGCTAGAAAATGACACTTTGGGAAGAAAAAAACTAGATCTGTACCTCTAGTTGATCCACCAACTGAAGTTCAAATCCCATCAACCTATCCCAAAGTTTGTCAACCTCCTCTTTGTACTCCGTAATCTGGGATTCAATTCCATTTGGATCACTCATCACTGTCAGCTCTGCCACAATCTATAAACAAAAATATATAGGACATGGAAACATTGTGGTTATATGAAATTATGAATAAAAAGGGCCATCATGGAGAACAGCATGGGTACTATTTAGGCTGCATACCCTTGGTAAACAAGACATGATTCTTTATTCATCTTTAAATTTTTCAGCAAAATGAAAACAAGTGTTTTGTTTGTTTATTATATGGGTTGAAATTATAGCATTAATGAAAGAGATAAAGGCTTGATTTTTGTAGACATATTTTACAGCAACAGGCATGAGCACCCAGAAGGGGTGTTGTTTGTACGAGAAGCGATCATCATATCATCATAGATTTTGTGGAGTACTATTCCAAGACTAATTCAATGTTCTCATTTCCATCTCTCAAAATAATACAATCTTCACTCTCCCAGGAAACAACAAAACTTCAGAGATATTGTTTTCCTTGCTAAATAATTTTAAGCAAGTAATTTCAAAAATGTTTTTTAACTGGCTACCAATTTTGAATTAGATTACCAGCAATTGTTTGTTGGTTTTCATTCTCCTTTAACAAAAATCATACCAATTAATTGAATTGAATTGTTATATATATAATATTTGAATTGAGAGAGATTGAACCCTTCTCTATATACATTGTACCTTCTTTTTGTACTTGTTGAATTCATTGATGATGACTACAGCCATCTCCTTGTTCTCATCCTTGGCTTCCTGCACACAAGAATAGAACTCGTCCACCTCCTTGCATCGCTTCTCATGCTCCTGCAACCCAAAGGCAAAGACCTGCTGGCAAATGGCCACCATCTTCTCCTTGTAAGTGCACAGCAGTTAAGGGTTAAACAAGATGAAATGTTGCCAAGAAACAGTACATGCATTAATTGGCTTGATTTCGTTCCACTACAGAAAATGTTTTTTTTAATTTGTATTTACATGTTGGTGATAGTTATCAAGAAATTATTTTAATGTTTTTGTTTATTATTGGCTTTGTTTTGTTTTTATGATTTGGCACATATTTTTATTACTATTATTTTAAATGTACATTACATGATATTTATTTCAGATGAGGTGTAAAGCGAATGTATATTTCTGTTTGAATTATTTGTTGTTAAATGAATTTGATAACCAAATAAATACCTCAGAAGAGGAAAAGAAATTACATGTTGCCCAGTAGTCTGTTTTAAACAATTTCTGACCTTTGACATATGCCTTCTTTATAATATACCAAAAATCTTGCATAGCATCAATGTTTGGTTGGAATTGCTTCATAATGCTTTTAAAGTATCCAGTAACTTTTCTAGGATTTTTAAATATTCTTCTGACCTTTGACCTCTAACACCCAAAATCCAATCAGTTTATCCCTGCATACCATAACATACTTCATTCATTATTTTGGTTTAAATTGCTTCAGATCTTCTCAAACCATCTCGGAACAAAATACCTTATGAAATTTAATTGATTCTTACCACCGTTATGATCCTGTAACCTTTGGCCATTGACCTCTTTGGAAAGTACATAACAAAATCATATTGTATCCATCAGACTGATTCATAAATGATGACACATTCTTTATTTACAACTTATCCTGAATAGGCTAATGATTTGTTTGTTTGGAAAAGGATATACAGCCAATAGTTCATCGACCCCAGGTAGGGCTCCCAGTTTGCTTGCTTCAGGGTCCTCAGCAAACATGTTATCAAAGAGATGTGGTCCATCTAGGTTCTCAACATAGGCAAGCTAGATGTAAATATCAAAGAGATTTATTAATGATCAATATTTATGACCATAAATTAAATGTAGGGAAGCTAGATTTGCATGATGAAAATACATGATCTATAAATAGAAATGAGAAATCATCCATCTTGGTTCTCAACATAGGCAAGCTGGATGTACACATTAAAAACACATTTGACTGAGAAATACTCATGACCTTAAAATATGCCAGGTCCATATATATTATCAACATAGGCAACCTGGTGGTCAACAATAAAGATATATACATATATGCATGATGAATAATCATCACCCTTAGATATATGGCAGGACCACCTAGGTTCTTAACATCGGCAAGCTACATATGTAATTTGCAAAATTGCCTTAGATTGTGTCAAAGCAATATTTTCAGTATGAATATAGAATCTTGATTCAAGCCTTAGAATAAGATGTTATGCAGGACCATTTTGCCTTAAAACATAGGCAAGCTTGATACATACTATTCACACCATGCACATCTGTATCACTGCTCTTTCTGTTCTTCTCAAGATAACCTTTCTACTGTCTTCACATCATAGTTTCTAAACCATATACTATCATTGTTCTATCAAAAGTCTTGCCTTTTATTCTCATTGTAAAACTGCTACCAGCTAGGTTTGAGGTCGATTACCCTTTTACTGACCCGACTACAGGCCTTGTTTCACGAAACCGTCACAAGTACAAGTTTATCAACATCCCATTGCAACATGTGCATTTAAAATCATTGTGCCATTCAAAGGGATGATGCAAGGGTGACAAGCAAGATCATTAGAAGGAAAAAAAAGAGTAGGTAGTCATAATAAATATCAACATTAATCTTTATCACCAAGTACTGAATACTGGGCTGATCTTGATACCAGAGTGGACATCCCTACTGAACATTAAACCCTAGAAATAATTTCATAAGTTTTGATTTATTACCTTCTGCTTCTCAAACTTGCTCTCTTTGAGTTCTATCTCCAACCTCTTGTTCTCTGCTGCTGTCTCATCAGCCATCAGTTCTTCGATAGCATACTTGTACTGCTCCATAGCTGCCGTTTTCTGATGAACAAGAAGAGTAGAATATAGAAGGTATGGTATGGTATGGTATTTATTTCATTCTTCATAAAAAACATATACAATACATACAGAGTATTAGAGGTGAAATGGAATGCAGTACACGTGCTGATATCAAACTCTTCTCCATATGAAAACTTCCACTAGCATAAACTCCTCTGCTGGGTAAAGGAAAATTATATCCATTATTCTGGCATCCATGCAGTAATCATATTGGGTTTCTATATTGTAACACAAAATTGTGAACTTTTTCTTTTTCTTTCTTTCTCCTTAACAAAATTCCTCCAACATTCAGTCCCCTCCAACATCTGTTTCCAAAAGCATACTGAATTTATAGCCTTCTACTTTAATAATTGCAATAGGTGATACATTATTTAACACTAATTCAAGCCACATGGAATAATAGTCCCCCCCCCCCCCCACCAAAAGAATAAATAAATAGATAAACTGCAATCGACACCAATCAACTGTAAAATCAATCAAATTTGTCAAATAAAATGAAGTCAGTTCTTCTTTGATACTTACTGTGTTTCCATCGATGAGCCTAAAATCCAGGTAGGCCAGGGTGGGAATGTGAGCAACGACAAACTGCTTGTAGTTTGCATCATCGCAGAATGGATTGCCTGCCAGGTTGAGTGTTCGCAAACCTTTAAATCTTCTCAAGTAGATTAACTGAAAGATTTGCAAAGATAAGACAATTAAGCACAGACTGCACTGTGGATTGGTTGCATGGCAGGGTAATTATGTGAAAGTAAGAACGATACTGTTTGTGTTTGAATAAGATATAAACATTTCATGTTTTATATACATACTTTAAAATACAGTACCTAGCTCAAAGCTTTTTGTTGAAAGGAATGTTGTTACAATTTGCTTGACATACCAATACCACACCTTGTATCAAATTTACATCAAATCTCAGCAAGATGTTAATTACTAGGAACAAATTTCATTTTCATTTTCACCTCCAAACTTCAAAAGACCACACTTACATTTGAGAAGAGACTTGAAGTGAGCTAGACAGTAGACATAGTCATAATTATTTTCTCATCCTGTCGATGATTCTTTCATTGGTACTGTTTCAGTTTGCTTCTTTTGTAAAATGGACGCAATATGGCGCATGTTGCTTTGTAAGGCAAGTACACAAGATAGATTGTACATCATAACTAAAACCAAGTTTGGCCAATCTATGTGTATGATTTAGCTCTGTTGATACTTACCAGTATTGAGAATTGAAAATAATTATCACTGATTTTGGCTTTATCATATTTCAACACTTTCCACCATTTAGATTTCTTTCAACTTTTTACATGTTATTAAGTGCATTTTTTAAATAGAAATATACATGTACCAGTTGAAATGTTTTCTGTGGCAAATTAGTAGGAGGTTTTAGGCCTGCAGAGGCTTCTAGAAACTTTGCAAAATAATAAATAGGAATTATTTTACTAATTAAGTATGTGTAGGCTACTTACATTTTCTAGAGAAGAAAGGTTATTATTGCCAACTGAAAAAACATGAAGTTGGGTGAGGCTGTCCATATTCTCTAAGGTTGCGATACGGTTGTTATACAAAGTCAGGTCCTCCAGTTTCTCTAGCTTTTCTAAACCTTCTACCACTTCAATATTGTTGAAGGAGAGGTCTGTTAGGAGAACGAAGAGGAATAAAAACAATTAAAATGCATTGATCAGATGCATTAAAAAAAAAATACCGTTTACATGTATATCTAAACTTGGAATATGCTCCCCCCCCAAAAAAAAAATAATAAATAAATAAAAAAAAAAAAAAAAAAAAATATATATATATATATATATATATATATATATATATATATATACACTGTATATGTGTATACAATAATTGAATAAATAAACAAGAATAAAAGTTCTAAAAAATAATAACAATATCAATAGTAATATTAATAATGAATTAATGATTAAGACTATTTAAAAGATCAAGAGAGCCACAGACAGTTTCAAGTTGTAACACAGTTTTATGTTATATAATAGTTTGGGAGTGTTAAACTGTGGCCTCAAATCATAAAATTGCTGTGGTTTTAAAAATACTCCTTCTTTTAAAATTGCTGCCATTGCTGCGATTATCATGAAGTACAATTATCAGACTTTACGTCAATACTATAAAATACAAGAAATTAATTTCTTCTGCTAATATCAATAGGAAAGGTATACACTTAAGAAGTGATATACATGTGCATTGTTCCATATTTAATACTGATCAATAGTTTTTCCCTCTCCTTTGCCACTACATTTTATGGTTAAGAACAAGCCAAATCAACCATGCATCTGCATCTTTCTCTGTTTCTAAATAATGAATACTTAGCCAAGATAGGAAGATAATTAAAACTCAAACTTAAAAAATAGAAAAAATTAAATACTTTCTTATCTACTACATTACAGTATTATGCTCACTAAAATTGAATTTGAAAACTAACTGTCGAACTAGGAATTTCAAGATATTCAGCAAGTGATCTAGATTGGCATATGACGAACAGCACAGAATTTTGATTTGCAAAAGTTTCTTGCCCCTATTAAAAGTGCATGCCATAGAGCTATATTTGCTATAAATTTCAGCTCACAAAAGTTTCTGATATTATAGTACAAGCTATTTAGGTGACTGGGGTAATATATCTGTAAAACGCTTAGAGACATCGTAGATGTATTAAGCGCTATATAAAAGCGGAATACTATTATTATCATTAGATGAAAGATTCATATTTTTTTAATACATTTATTCTTGAAGTTGAATAACTTACCAAGCCAAACAAGATGAGCAAGAGTGTCTAAACCTTCAATCTTCTCAATGATGTTGTTATCTAGCTGCAGCTTGACCAAATTGTTGAATTGCCACAAGTTGTCAACTTTGAGAATATCTAAACATTGAAATTGGGGAACAAATAGATAAAGTGCTACATCAATGTCTATGAACTTGTTTGAAAATTCATCTTCTCCTAATCTGAGGTCTAACATACTTTGTATTTAAATACACTGCCTTGCTTTACAATTACATTCCAACAATGTATATTTGGATTGTAACAAATTCATGGACAACTCTCCTTTTTCATGTGTACAAATATATCATAAATTTCAGTTTCTCATCTAACAAAGTGCCTTGTCTCTTGGGGCACTAGTCAAAATATGTTATGGATAGCATATTATTATAAACCCTCTAAAAGTAAAGACCCTCCTGAGCTATACATTTAAAAATATTGACATTCTAGTCACTTTGTTGGATTTCCCTTTGACTTCTAAGAAATGTCTAGGCACAAGCCTCCCCCCCCCCCCCCCTCTTCAATGATGATCTGATATTGCTCCTGTGGCATTAAATCTGGGCTTTATCTTGCCCAAATGTAGGGTTAGGGTTATGGCTGCAACTAGAATTTATTTTAGGTTTATTGTTTATTGGAGTATCTATAGTGTTTGGTTTAGGGATGAAGTGAGGGATTCGTTTAGAGTATGAAATTGGTCACTGGGAGGAGCATGTGTCACCCATAACACCAATCCTAATTGTACATTTAGTCAAGCATTAATTTTATTACTTTTGAAGTCCAGTCTAAGCTGTGTCACATCTGTAAAGTCTATTCCCTCTGCCTTGGCTATCCTGCCGGCTTCTTCCTTGGGCCCCTGCTCCTCGACTGCTTTCTGGAGCATGATCTCATCCACCACAGACGGCTCCACCGTGTCATACAGACGACTCATCTTGGCAGCAGATTCACAATGTCACAATCAATGAGATTGATTTGGTCAAGAAGATTTGACACCTGGCGATAAATTCTTTCCTTTAAGCTCTGTAAAAAAAAATTGCCAAAATAAATTTCAAGTACTGAAGTAGTCTACAATATGGCTGTCATACAAGATCTACTGTCAACGGTATTAGACCTCATTCCCGAACTACATTGTAGCTTTAAAGAATACAGAATTTTCACACGTGTATAAAACAAATGGTTGGTTTGTTTGTTTTACTAGACTGTTTCTTCTTCTTCTCGATCGTAGTAAAGTACCGATTTTGAGTGAATTCAGTTGAGTTTTGTACAGTGGTGTTTGAAATGTTGAGAATCAATAGCACAGCTTTTAATACACAGCCAGGATAGTAATAGCAGCTAGACGTTTATGTGTGACTTGATGCACACTTTTTTGTGAAATTCAGTTATTTCAGAGGCAAAACTAGATTCTACCACACTTAGGAGCATCACTATCCTGGCTGTGTAGTAAAAGCTGCAGCTGTGCTTTTGATTCTCAACATTTCAAACACCACTGTACAAAACTCAACTGAATTTACTCAAAATCGGTACTTTAGTTTAGTGACAATTGATGACACCTAAATAGCAGTAAAATACATTTTCTTCAACTTAGACCTACTGATGTTAAAAAGAATAATTTAAAAATTCAAACTGTAAGTCTAGAAGTCTAGTGTCAAAATTTGCTTAACAGCTGCATCGGCATGCTTGTGTACAGTCTATGCAATATTGTGTGGTGTGTATATTTGTGTATGGCCATGGGTCTAATAATACCTGCCTCACGTACAGCATGCATGCAGTGCTAGAGCAGAGGTCAATACGCATTAGCATTGACTCTCTTAGACAGAAATAACCGTCTGATATGGGTCATTTCTTTAATAAAACTGACATTTGTTGACATAATCGGAGGTCTAGTGGAGCCAGACGGAACCGACGATAGAGAGACTGAAGGCCTAGAGAAGACGTCATTTTAGTCCAGACACACAGCTAGCGCTCGCGCTCCCCCATCATAGACTCTAGGTCTATACTCTATGATATTTATATATATATATATATATATATATATATATATATATATATATATATATATCTTCTAAGTTCTGCACTGGTCACTGGAAGTGGAACTTGGAAGTTGGAGTTGGAAGAGAAGACTTTAAAACGTGCGTAGAATTACACACAAACAAAAACACATATGGGACCGAGATAATGTTTCCGCTGCACCAGAAGCTGTCGACTTGCCGTTGTTCAACTCGTAAATGAACTTAAATATATTTGTGTAAATTAGATTTAGATCATCTATGCCGACTACTTCAACATTCTCACAATATAATTTCATACCAAAATGTTTTAATGAGAATAATCTTAACTTACATCTAATTATGAGCGAAGAATTCCTAGTCAAATCGCGTCCATTGTTGTCATGGCGTTTACGTGTGTACGTCGCGATTTCGACATCCGCTCCTCGAAACTAGCGACCAATAAGCCAGCCGCTCCTTAAACATTGCGACTAATAAGCCAATTATAACTAATTTACTACCTTGGCCTTCAGCATTGTTCTTTACTCTAGATCTCATGTATGTCACATGTCGAAACTTTTTGTCTGGGTCTAATTACTGTTTCAGATCAGGTCCGGAGATTGTCTCACCTTCCTGTTCAGATTCCCTTCGACACATTGCACGAACGATTCTAAAACTATCGTATGACAGTTTAAATAAACATTAATCACCAATTACAGACGTGTGTTTGTGGTGCTCCGTAAATTCCCATATTTTGTGCGTTTATAGTGCACTTTCTTTTGACTGTTATACATCTACGTCTTGGAAATTTTCCTGTGATTGTGGACATTTCACTCTTTTCGACGGTATGTGAACATTTTCCGAGATATATTCGTTTTTCGTCAATTTTAATCCAGTTTTTTAGCGAATTTATATTTCAAATTTGAACACTCTGCGTAGCATCAAAACAATTGTGCGCAAAAATATTGCGCCATACTAGTTAAGTTACGCAAAGGACCAGCAGATACCAACGCAGCAACGTAACCATGGAAACTTTACCAACAAATTTACGTGGACTCCGCGTGAAGCAACTACGTGCTGAGTTACAGAAAAGAGGTATGCATACAAACGGAGTAAAGGCGATCCTTCTTGAAAGACTAGAAAATGCAGTAGGCCTAGACGAAATAAGGAACACTAATGCCGCTGGTGATGTAGATGAAGATAAACATGAAAAGCCAGATGATGTCTTCAATGATGACGCAGACTGCCGACAACTACTGCATAATGTACTGAGTGAAATAAAAGGCTTGAATAGTAGGCTAGATACTATCGAGAAGAAGTTCAACAATCTATTCGAACAGCATACTTCTACTTCTACTTCTACGACGATACTCAGCAGGATCCATAAGTCAGGATGTAGTGCAAGGGAGAAGGAGAAGGAGAAGGAGAAGGAGACGGAGAAGGAGAAGGAGAAGGAGCAAGGGAATCTGAGGGCACAACAACAAGTATCTAGGCCTACCACCAAATATTTCCCGACAATTGCTACGCATAACCGGTTTGAAATACTATCCGAGATCACGGAATCAGACAACAGTGCCAAGAGTGTATCAATGCCAATTGAAGATCAACTTCGTGACTACAAGGCCAAGCACCTGAAGTTGTTCTCCAAAACCAACATCACCCATTCTGAAGTTATCTCTGATGACGCAACTGATGACAGCGACGCAACTGTTGACAACGACGCAACTGATGACAGCTCAGACCGATCTTTGTCAACACCTACTAGTACTACTTCTACTTCACCACCATACCATGAGCAGATAGAGGGATACCGCCACCGACATAGTGTGATCCGCAACAAACGAGATGTAGTTGTGGTCGGTGATTCCATGATAAAACACATCGACGGAAGACATCTCTCCCGCAGCAAGAATGTGAGGTGCGTCTCTTTTCCCGGTGCAAAAGTGAGAGACATATTCACCTCTTCACCTTGCGAGTTTCTCAAGCCAGGGGGAGAACTGATCATCCACGCTGGCACCAATAACATCTCTGAGGGTGCTGGTGAAGTTTGCCACCAAATCACAGACCTCGGCAAGTCTGTTGCTGCCGAGGGGTTTAACGTCTCAGTCTCTACGATCATCCATCGTAGAGGGGAGAGTGAAGCGGACAAGAAGCGGGTTGATGAGATCAACTATCTGATGGAGTTGGCAGCCAGCGAGAACAGATGGGGCCTCATCATCAACAATGATATCAGCGAGCAGCATCTCGGGCGTGATGGCGTTCACCTCAACAGAGCCGGTCAACGAATCTTGGCAGGCAACCTGAAACGCCTCATCAACAGTGCTGACCAACCGACAACACGAGGCCATGGCTGGACTCAACGGTCGTCCGATCAAGTTACAGGCAGTGAACCTGGAGCAAGGCGGCATCAAGCCATCTACCGAGAAAACCAGAGTCTTCATTCTGATGAGGAGAAAAGCAGCCCCGTAAAGTCCTACGCCGAATCTGTTTCTGGGAGATCTTTGGATTTCAGTGCAGTCAAACAGAGGTCACGACTGAAACCAGCCTTCAGACCATCCAAGGTGGACATGAAAGACTGGGCGAAATATCTTCAATTTGTAAGAAGGGTATTGAATTAAGTGAAAGTTTGACAAAATCTAGTGATGATCCGAAAATTATAGTTGACGGTCGAAAATATAAGTTCCCTTGTGGGAACTGTGATAAGCCAGTCAAATGTAATCAACACGGCCTTCTGTGTTCTTATTGTAAAAAATGGTTTCACACTAATTGTCAAGCTATCAGTTTTTCAGAGTACCGCAGGTTATATTATGAATGCCCTGATGAGAAGTGGAATTGTTTAACATGTTGTCTGCCATCTTTTTGTGACTCATTATTTAACGACGATTGTTTAGAGAAAGAAAGCCAAAACGAGTATAGACTAAAAGAAAACTATTTTAAGATAACGCGCGTTACACCTGAAAAGCAAGCGATAGCAAGAGTAATTCAGCCAAACCTCAGAGATGAAAACACTTCTCTTTATCAAGAATTTGAAGAAAAGTTTAAAGTTAAAGGTCTTCATTTTTTACACCTTAATGTGAGGTCTATTCTAAACAAGATATCGGAACTTAGAATTCTTTTTAAAAGAAAAAGGCTGTCTATTATTGCTTTCACTGAAACATGGTTAAACAATTCCATAAATGATGAAGAAATTGAAATAGACGGATATAAAATCATACGCCATGATCGATCCTCTGGCTCTGGAGGTGGTGTATGTTTCTATATCAGAAATGATATTGCATTTAATATTATGGATGCTATAAGTACTGGAGATACGGAATCCCTGTGGATAAATTTGCTTATACCAAGATCAAAACCAATTGTTGTTGGTGTTCTGTATCGACCTCCGAAAAACAATTTGTTTATCGAGAAATTGTCCAATATTCTTGATACATTAAAGAAGGATGACGAAATAATTCTTTTAGGAGACATGAATATTTGTCTTCTTCGCAAATCGCCACTGGCTAAAAAATATATTGACTTGTTGAGTCTTCATGGGTTTAGTCAACTCATTAAAGAGGCAACACGCGTTACACCTACATGTTCTTCTCTATTGGATCATGTTGGTTGTACCAAAGAAAATAAAATAAGTCAAAGTGGTGTCATTGATCTAGGTATTAGCGACCATTATTTTACTTTCTGTACACGGAAAAATGTTAGACTGGCTATAGGTCATCACAGGACTAATGATATCAGATCCATGAAAAAATATACAGAAGAGTCTTTCAATCTTCAACTATCTGTTGTTGATTGGTCACGAATAACTGACTGTACAGATGTAAATGAGGCATGGTCAATATTTCAACATGTTTTTATCTCAAATTTGAATATGATAGCGCCACTGAAACGGATAAGAATAAAACAAAGATCAGAAACTTGGGTGACTAAAGATATTCTTTCCCTAATTCAAGAGAGAAATATAGTATACAAAAAATGGAGGAAAAGAGCAAAAGATGAGAAGCTCTATAAAAGATACAGAGTATTAAGAAATATGGTCCAAAGAGAGGTGAAAAAGGCTAAACTCGATTACTTACAAAACAAGATAGAAGAAAATAAACAAGATTCGAAAAAACTTTGGCAGAATCTAAAAAGCTTAGGATTGAAAAATAAGAAGCGAAAAGAACAAGAATCTGTCATTAAAATTGATGGGGAATTATGTCATGATAAGATGGCCATCGCTGATGAATTCAATTCTCATTTCACAAATGTGGCTGCCAAATTAGTAGACAAACTCCCCCCTTCCAAAGACTTTTTCAGCGCAGACAATGATTGTATTCGTGACTTTTACGAAAGAAAAGGTGTACGTGAAAACAGCTTCGAGTTATTACCAATCAGTGAACAATTTGTTTTCAAAGAGTTACGTAAGTTGAATGTATCAAAAAGTACTGGGTTAGACTTGATTCCAGCTAAATTTCTAAAAGATGGTGCGAAGGTTTTATTTAAGCCTCTAAGTTACTTAATGAACCTATCTATCTTGACGAGTACTTTTCCAGAAGATATGAAAATAGCAAAAGTGACTCCACTTTATAAAAAGAAAGATAAAACTGATGTTAGCAACTATAGACCTATTAGTGTTTTAAGCGTAGCATCAAAGATTCTAGAAAAATCGGTCTGTGTTCAAATTGAAAGATACTTCAAAGAAAATGATATAATTTATGAATTTCAATCTGGTTTTCGACATGATTATTCGACTGAAACATGTCTAATTCATTTGACTGATTATTTGAGGAGAGAAACTTCCCAAGGACGCTTTGTTGGTATGGTGCTCCTTGATCTGCAAAAAGCTTTTGATACAGTTAATCATTGCGTCTTATTGAAGAAGTTACAACTAATGGGTTTTGATAAGGCAAGTTTAGATTGGTTCAGATCCTACTTATCTAATCGGCACCAAGTAGTGGCCATTCATGATATTCGTTCCAAACTAATGCCTATAACATGCGGTGTTCCTCAGGGAAGTATTTTAGGCCCAATTCTATTTTCAAGTTATATAAATGATATGTGTATTTGTATAAAAGACTTCAAACTATTATTGTACGCAGATGACAGCGTACTACTCTATTCAAATCCTGATCCTAAATATATTGAGGAAAAGCTCAGTGAACAGCTGTCTACGTGTGTCGATTGGATGACTGATAATAAGCTTTCTTTACACTTGGGAAAAACAGAAAGCATTTTATTTTGTTCTAAAAGTAGTTCTAAAAAGTCATTTGAATTCAAAGTGACACACAATAATCAAGCAATCAAGAGAAAAGAGTCTGTGAAGTATTTAGGCATTGAGTTGGCTAGCGCAATTTCATTTTCATCTTTAGTAGAATCAGTTGTAAAAAAAGCAAATTCTCGTCTGAAATTTTTGTACAGATATCAAAGTTGTATGGATTTAAAAGCAAGACGTACACTCTGTTTTGCTCTTATTCAATGTTTATTTGACTATGCTAACCCTGCATGGTACAGT